TGTTCTCCCTCCTTCTGCTCCTCATTGGGACCTTGGGAGCTCAGTCCAGTGCTCCAGTGTGGGTCTCTGTCTCTATCTCCATCCATCACCAGATGAGGGTTCTATGGTGATATGGAAGATATTTGTCAGTATTGCTGTAGGATAGGGTCATTTCAGGTTCCTTATCCTCAGACCCTCATTTAAGAAGGGCTTCCTAACTCAGTGTTAGCTGTAAAACCTTGCAGCTCTTTTAAAAGGTCCTGCCATGAAAAGCCTAAATGGTGTTGATGAAAAGTTTACCACATGTTTTTTGTTGGTGGCAGGGATCTTGGAACACCATAGAGTGGTGGCAATAAACATGGCTTTGGCGGGTACCTCTGCTGTGAGGTTGGAATCTCAGAAAGCAAAGGAATGTGCTGGATCCAGCCATCAAACTCTCGGTTTTAATCCTAGCCGTATCAATTAGCAAATTAAATGCTCATGTGTTCAGAAAAAGAGAGATATACAGTAAAGACAGAGTCAAATGAAGAAAACCTCTAAATGGTTTAGAGTATGTTTTAAAATATATGATGGCTTGGGAGATAATAGAAAAAAGGTTAAAGTCCATAAAAGAGAAAAGACAAAAAGAGAATAGTTGGGTGTGATGACACCCACCTTTAATCCCGACACTTGGAAGATAGAATCAGGCAGACCTCTGTGAATTCAAGGGATGTTGGCACACACCTTTAATCCCAGCACTTGGTAGGCAGAGTCAGGCAGATGTTTTTCTTGTTACATTTATTTACATACATATTTCATGATGTCATTGTTTTTGAGTAATACTCCATTGTGTAAATGTACCACATTGTTTTTATCCATTTTTCAGTTGAGTGGCATCTAAGGGAAGTGGACAGAAAAGTTGTGAGGAGCCAGATGATCAGGGAGTATGCTGTGATATTGTGTGTCCCAGTAATATCAGAAGCTTCATTTATAAACACTCCACAGTAACATTATACAAAAATGAGATGAGCAGGGATGATAGCAATGAATGTGTTAAACTGGACAAAAAAATTCTACAAGTTCTTAACTGAACACAAACAACTATAGGCAATTGAGAAAAACTGGAAATGAAACAGGAAATAGCACACCAGTTATTTGTCTCCTACCAAAACGTTGGTTTTGAAAACATACATGCAGACTTACTGATCAGTTTATATTTAATTTAATAATATATATGTGTGTTCATATATGCATGAAAAACACAGTGAAAAAGGCTATGAATTTGAAGGAAAGCATGAAGTCGAATATGGGAGGGCTTAAATGAGGGAAAGAATATATGTTGTTATTAAATTATAATAACAAAAATAAATATAAGAAACAGCCACACACACTTGCATAAACAAATGCACACACATAAGCACAAGATCTCATAGACACACACACACATACACACACACAAACAACACATACACACACAAAGAAAAGAAAGAATTCTTCAATTAAGGACAAAGTAGTGTTATTAGAGTTAGGGGAGTATTTTAGTTTATGTTTTGGATGGTGGGTTTAGAAACAAATAATATTTACATATTTATATTGAATAAAACATTCTAAAGAAATAAAGGCAACAAAGAAAAGAATTGAGTTTTTTTCTGTATGGTTCCTTCATGCACACTTGTGCTCATTCCTCAGTACATAACTGCATGTGAACACACAAATACCTAAACACACACACATACACACACATACGTGAAGAGATATTTTGAAACATTTTTCATAATACATGTTAAATTATTTTTTGACCATTATGACACTTCAAGACTTTCCATGCTCATAGGGTACATTGCTTGACCAGGGTAGAGCTCACCTTTTCTTCTTTTAATCTAATCAACGTTTTGTAGGTTACTCTAATAGTTCCAATTCCATGTGATGGCTTATGCATGCATTCATAGAAATTATGAAAATCGACATAGCCAGGTACCTAATATTCAGCAGCAAGCTGCACTCAGCTGCCCAGAGTCACATTCAGAAGAAGTAATATGGAAATCCAGTTTTTTTTTTTTTAAATAGGAAACCAGGATATATTCTCAAGGAGTCAGACATGCTCACGCTCCAGGCACCTCTGATTGTTTTCCTCTATTATCAATTAGAGATAGATGTCATGTTAAATTACAATTTTTTCTGTATTTCTAGTTTCAGTTTCCCTGTTTCTGTGGTAACATACAGGGATGGGGAGAGAGACATGAAATAGCAGCTCAGATGAAATCTCCATAGTTACAGCAGACACTTGATTTCCATTGGTAGCATTGAGATCTTTCTCGTGATTGGCCCAAATCCATTCTCTAGATGATATCACACACTTAACCAATCCGATGCAATGGGAGATAATATCAGTCCCTTCACAAAGGGGTTTTGTCAGTCAGGCTCCTGGCTGGAGTCCAGCTCTCAGCTGGATCCTGGTTCTAGCCAGGACCTGACTATAACCTACTAGTCAATGAAGGAGGATGGCTCCTGAAACCTGCGAGGAGACAGAGGCAATTGACATCCAGCATAGCCAGGTACTTGCTAAGATTACCACATGCTGAGTCATCTGCTTCTTTTTTCCTGTGCTGGAAATATGTTCCTGCTTCCTAAGCCGCTGTGTCCACTTATAAATATATCATTGTCTTCCAGCTTTGGAGTTCGGCTTTATCTGCAAAGCATTATAAGACCTGCTGCTCCTTACTCTCCCCTCCTGTGCCTACTGTGTGAATAATTTTCTTTAAGCACATCTCTCATATGGCAACCTAAAACTCTGAGAGCTCATAGCTGAAAAATTTGCTGATACTATGTTTTATTTGCATGCAGTCTTTTCATTGAAGATAGTTTTTGTTCCATACAATATATAATGACTATGGTTTCCTGACCTCCAACTCCTTTAAGATATTCCCCACATTCTCACCTGCCCAAATCTTCTCTCTCTCTCTCTCTCTCTCTCTCTCTCTCTCTCTCTCTCTCTCTCTCTCTCTCTCTTTCTTTCTCTCAATTGAATATACACAGGCATGTAATAATAGTAATGATAACAATAGTAAAATAGCAATAATAGTAATATAATAATAAAAAATAAGAACATCATAAAAGGACAAAAGAAACAAATATAAGAAAAATTGCCAAAGAAATACAAAAGAAGCATATAGATGCAAAGGCACATATGTTCATGCAAACATAAATCCCACAAAAACACAAATGATATAAGATTCCCATCTGCATGCTGTGAATATCATTAGTTAATAAAGAAACTGGCTTGACCTGATAGGGTACAACAGAGCTAGGTGGGGAAAACTGAACTGAATGCTGGGAGAAAGGGGGCTGAGTTAAAGAGAAGCCATGGATATGCTGACAGAGGCAGACACACTGAAAGTTTGCTGGTAGGCCGTGACCATGTGGCAATGCATATATTAATGGAGATGAGTTAAAGTCAGATGTATGAGTTAACCAATAAGAAGCTAGAACTAATGGTCCAAGCAGTGATTTATATAATATAGTCTCTTGTGAATATTTGGGGCTGGGCAGCCAAGAAACAATTGGCTCATTACCACAAATTGGTATGCCAACATGTTTGACTGTATCAATGTTATACATGGGAAAGCTTAAAAAGTAATTTTAGACACCAAGTTAACTGCTAGCTTAGTGCTGCAGACCCTTTGAGAGAGGTTTTCCTGATTCATCAATAGCAGAAGAAAACTACTCTGTTTTTGAAATGGTGGGTTCCTGAGCCGTGCTACCAGTATGAACTCTGAAGAGGTCTGGCTATGGGCCATTTAAATGGGATTTGTGAGCAGAGTGCTACAACATGCTTAATTCTGTGACATAGACTCACAGCATATTTGGAACTGTGGTGGTGTGCACAGCTCAGAGGCGGTGAACAGACCTCTTCCATCACGTTGGCTGGGTGGGGCAAATAGGCAGTTTTGTGTTATCCTTAGCAATGTCACCACTTAAGTTCATAAGAAGGGCTTAGCATTTTAATAAGCACTTCTGGTCAGAAAATAATTATAGATACACAGTAAAGACAGATTTAGAAAATAAAAGCCTCTAAATGGGTCAGAGTGCTGGGGAAGTGTACATAGACATGAACAGAGAAGAAAAAGAGTTTAGAGAGTTATAAAAATTAATGGGTTTAAAAAAACAAAAGAAATCTTTAAAAAGACAGAGTACAGACAGAGATTAAAGGAGAAATAATAATATAATAAATATTAAAATGTAACACAGTAAGAATAAATAATCCATGTATAGATGGACTATACACAGAGAGTCAGGACTATATATATTATTCATTTTTCTTTGAATTTTTTGACTGTAAAGGATCTAAGTAATCAACATATATACTTTTATGATATCTTGACTTCAGAATTTGAGTCTAAGGATATGTTTTTGAAAGAAGAGTTTCTTCTTTTGTTTCAACAAAGGCTGAGAATATGTGGAAAATTTCCATACTAATATAGTTTGATGTAACAAGATCCCCTGAAAGGTCGCCATGAACACCTCCAAAAATACTTCACCCAACAAAAAACAGGAAGCAGTATGAAGAGAACTATGCCATATTCCCAGATATTGTTTATACATTTAAAGGGAGATATGCTATAGAGATTTGCATTGGTATATTTTGGCTTATTGATACAAATTTAAGGTCAATTTTGTTATACTGTGTATAAATATATTTCTGCTCTTGATTAAGGTATTATGTTTGTGTAACTCATTTAAAATGTAAAGTATAATAATGAAATTCAGGTTATAGCCAATAATTGTAATAGTCAAGCTTGTAGTCATGTTAGTTAAGTTTTTTAGATATATAGAGATTTATTTCAGTTAGACAGTTTCAAAGATTATAGAATATGACATTTAAAATGTTGAAAGAACTTAAAGATTTTCATGACAATGAGACTCATTTGCTCCTGTGTTGCAGGGAGGAGGCCGCTTGTTTCTCTTGGCCACCAAGAACCAAAATAACCACACAGAACCTGTATTAATAAAAACACTCCTTGACCCATTAGCTCTAGCTTCTTATTGACTAACATATTAATTCAACCAATTTCTATTAATTTGTATATTGTCATGTGGCAGTGGCTTACGAGCAAAGATTCTGCATATCAGACTTTGGCTGCTGCTCCATGATGTCTCTCCCTCTGACTTCCCTTTCCCAGCATTCAGTCCAGTTTTCTTTGCCTACGTAAGTTCTGTCCTATCAGCAGGCCAAGGCAGTTTCTTTATTCATTAATGGTAATAACAGCAAACAGAGGGGACTTTCACATCACTCTTGGCAGCAACAATTAATTCAAGAGGAAGATGGGCATCAAAGATGCTCCTTATGGAGTTTGATAGCCATTTGGGCAAGAAACTACTCTTGCCTGGACTGCTTGATGAACTGGAAATGCAGGACCTACAATGAAATGACTGATAAAATTGCTTAAAGGTGAGACCTTCCTTCAGGGTTCCTGCTTCATGAAAGAGTCTGCTAGACATTCCGCAGTACACAGAAGAAAGTCACTGATAAACTGCCAATATAGGCAGAAATGTATTTGACATTTCCTGTTTTGTGGTAGAGTTTGCTGGATACTATGGGCCTGTAGCTGAAGATGGATGCATCAATGGTACAGAAGAAATTTGGGTGACTGTCCAGGAAGTAAGATCTCTCTATCAATTCTAGAGTTTATGAAGTTGCTTACAATGTACATCCTGTTTACTTGGGTCTTTGATTGAGCTAAAGAATTAATAGTTATTGTTTTCCTTAGTTATGATAAAAGAGAAAATAGATATGAATATTGTAACTGTAATTCTTACTTGGTAGATGTTGTGCCATATGTAATTTTAATATGGTAAAGTTAAAACAGTTATATTTAAACAGAAAAGTGGAGTTGATGTGGGATTACCCTTTGTATGCTGTGAATACCATTGGTTAATAAAGAAACTCACTTGGCCTGATAAGGTAAGACAGAGCTAGGCATGGAAAACTAAACCGGATGCTGGTAGAAAGAAGGCTGAGTTACAGAGAAGCTATGGAGCTGCTGCCAGAAACAGACGCACTGAAACTTTGCTGGTTGGCCATGACCTCATGATGATGCACAAATTAATGGAGATGAGTTAAAGTAAGAAGTACGAGTTAGCCAGTATAAAGCTAGAGCAAATGGGCTAATCAGTAACTTAAATAATATAGTTTTTGTGTGATTATTCGGTGGCTGTGCAGCCAGAAAACAAACCAGTGGCTCCTTACAACACACAAAACTATAAACCATTACATATAGGCAAAGGACATATAAGAATAAAAAATTGTTGAAAAGAAGTGTGAGACAAAGAATCTCTAAGAATTCTATTTAATGTTTGTATGTGTACAACCTACTGTTGGGCATTGCATCCTCTCTTAAGAGTGGTTTGTATGTGCAGTGAGACTCCACTGCATAAAAGACATTATTAATTTGCTTTCAGTTATTAATTAGACTTGTATTCTGGATTTGGGATGCGGTCTTATTGAAAGCTCCTCTTGCCTAGTACCAAATGACTGTCTTGGGGCAGAGAACTATAAGTGTGATATCCTACTTGTTTCCATTCTTGTTTTTTTTTTTTTTTTAAGAATTACACATATTCACGGCAAGCAGCAAGGAGATCCGGTCCAGGCACCAGGAGAGACATCACTGGGAACCTTCATCTGGTGATGGATGGAGATAGAGACAGAGACCCACACTGGAGCACTGGACTGAGCTCCCAAGGTCCCAATGAGAAGCAGATGGAGGGAGAACACGAGCAAGGATGTCAGGACCACGGGGGGTGCACCCACCCACTGAGACAGTGGGGCTGATCTATTGGGAGCTCACCAA